CAAGCATATTTCGAAAATATGTCTATAACTGTTAGTAAATACTTGAAACCTTTATTTATTCTTGAATAAGGTATCATTTCTACTAAATCTGCTTGCCATGTCTCATCTATATCACGCATTTCAACTCATCGTCGAGGATAATTTTTTCTAGCCTGAGTATGAAAATCATTCACTACTGTTAATTTTTTGTTGTAAATTCTCGAGAGCACTTAAGCGAGTATCCAATTCACTAATAATTTCAGCTGTTCGATAAGATAAGTCTTGATTTATATCTTTTTCAAAATTTTTTTTTCTGTAATAGAGTCTTCAAGAGCTTTTAGAAATAAGTTGTTATTGTCCAACTCTGATCTAAGTGAAGCACTAGATTTATACAATAAACGCACTTCGTGTTTAATCATATGTCGTACAAGTTTTAAATAGACAGCGTCGTTTTTTTCTTCAGCATTAGCAAGATTACAGAGGTTTCTTCCTTCAACGTCAAAGTTACCTTGAGAAAATTGAAATTTTAATTTTTTTTTTTTAAATTGAGTTTAAAACCAACTCCAGGAGGCTCTCGTCTTGCTGTTCCTCTTTGATTGAGAGGATGTCCGAACACATCAATGCTCATTGTTGAAATGAATGATATTTGCTAAAACACATCTTAATATATAATTTTTTTAATATTTAATTTAATGATAGACATGATTTCATTATTGTGACTAGGATTTTCAGCATCTTGAGAAGCCATTAATAGTCTAAGACGGTCAACCAACTCATTCGGATCATCCCAATAGATATATTCTCGTTGAAAATTTCTGTTTGTAATAAAAAATTTTAGTAGGTATTCGAGGGAAGAATTGAGATATAAAATTCAAATACTTGTAACTCTTATCCGTACGTATAGATTCAGAGGAACTGTACTTCTTTTTGTGTGCATTAGTAGCAATAAGAATCTCTTTATAGTTCATTTCATCAGCTTCATTTATAAACGACCTGGTAGGTTTTCTTTTGAATAAAAGTTAAGTTATAAGGCATATTGCCTTATAATTGGTAGAAATAATGATTAATCATAGACGACATCGGTAGTGATGGTATTTGGAGTGGTGGGGGGAAGGCTATAAAGAGAGCGTCTCTCTAAGGCTTGAGCCATTACTTTACTTCGGACACCATGGCGTACGTCGTAGATATTCAGTGCTTCAAGAGACCTTACAACGAGTTTGTCATCAAAGAGTTGGCGATTCTACCACTTCAACAAGATGCTCATCCATTGGTCTACCTCTTCAAGCCGACATATGCCTGGAGTCGATTACCTGCAAGATACAAATGTAAGAATCGATGGTTTACAAATAATTATCATGGTATCGATTGGGCTGCTGGTGACATTCCTTATGAAGAATTACAACCAATAATCAAAGAAGTATTAATAGGTACACCTACTGTTTATGTAAAAGGTTTAGAAAAACAAAAATTGTTAGAAAAATATACATTAAATGTGTTTAATTTAGATGATTTTAAATGTCCGTCGCTAAAAAGTTTAGATGTAGATAGTTTATCTACATGTACAAATCACACACGTAGCTATAGAAATTGCGCTGTTAAAAATGTATGTAATTTACGAAATTGGTTGATACAACCGTTAAATGTACTACAAAATAATATAGAAAATAATGATAAAGTTGACAATGATTGTACATTGAAAGATTTTTATAATGATTGTGAACATTTCCTATTTAATAAATAAATGTATTATAAATGTTTAAATTAATTAATCCTTTCCCATCCTATTATCTTTATTACACATGTGTAAAACTATTAAACATGTTAAATCTAGTCTAGACTTGTCTTATGACGTCACAAAGTGGGCGTGGCTCAATAATCAAAAGTGGGGGTATTTCACAAACATAAAAAGCTATTGCGCATGCATAAAATAGTGGTAGGGGTACTGCGCATGCGTAAAAGTAATGGTGGGAATAATGCGTGATATTTGGGTATAATTGAGCCGATTTAGTCATTCCGTTTTGTGACTTCACAAAGTATTATCTCTAAGAAAAGATTGATCTAACCAAAATCAACGTCATCAGTCGCATGGAAGCTTTCCTACCTACGAAGCCGCTTTCCGAGCTGACTCCTGGACATAAGTATCCTATAACGAAGATCCAGGTTGTCAACACCAGGTATGGAGTCAAGGTCGTCGTTGAGGTGGATAAGAAGTTCAATACATTTCTTCCTTCAAGATTTGTACCAATGTTCACTGATGACTCGATATGCTTGGATCAAATGCAAGAAGCTATTAATTGTGGACAATTACGGCTGAAGTATATTGGTGGTCTATACAACCGTATTGAATTTACAATAAGACAAGTGTAAATATTGTATATTGAATATAATAAATGAATGAAATGTTATTAATCCTGTATTTAATTACATACCTTCATTAGTATTACGTTAAAAAATAAGGTATAGATTTTAAGGTTATGTTTAATAAAATAAAATTTAAGGTTATGTTCAATAAAATAGATTTTAAGGTTAGGTTCAATAAAATAGATTTTAAGGTTATGTTTAGTAATGTTATGAAAAAATAATATTAGTAAACTAGAAATTCAAGAGAAAAATATTATTGCAGAGTTCGGAAAAGAGGTTCTAGAAAAATAGAAATTAGGAGAATAATTTATTAAACATAAACATGCTAAAGTGATGTTAAAATGGTATAAAATATTTATATAATTTTTATTTACTTACTTACTATTATTATATTTCACATTCAAGAACACGCACCATTTATTGGATTATTATGTTTTAAAAACAAAATGGTGGACACGAATGCCCGGGAAATTAAAAAACAAAAAATAATAGACTGCAATATCTGTGAAATTAAATTGTTAATGGCGCCATCTAGTGGTCTAACCTAAAACTAACTCGATCGGTAAAACAGATGTCTGTCTTATCGGCCCAATCCAAATTTATGTCAGATCTCTACCTTGTCGACTGCTAATAAAGTAGAAATCTGCATTACCGACCTGGTGTAATTCAATTTGAATTTTAAACAGCTTATTGTTTATTCAATAAATTTTAATTGCATTAGTAAACATTACATCAGTTTTAATTGTAAAACTCTAAACTTATTTTAAGATTTGAATTTGCTGGTGGCGCTATCTAGCGGTTTAACTTAAAACTAACTCGGTCGGTAAAACAGATGCCCCTAGCTATACTACTCTTTGTCACACCTTAGAAAAAATTACACCATTACACACGTTTAGAGGGAATCCCTCACCACATTGTAAAATAAGCGACATTACAAAATAACAAAGGAATCAACAAAAATTTAGTTTTAACACAAATTTACAAATATGTAGGGGAGAGTCGGTAGTGGCGAGACACGTTTTGGTTTTTTTGTGTAGGACTCATATTTTTATAAATATTTGGTTTGCTTTTGTGCAGACAGACTAGTGAGACTATCTTTTACAAATTTACATAATACACTCGAATCTCGCTATAACGAGAAGTTCGGGAGTCAAGTCTCCCTCTATTACGAGCGCAAGAGGAGAAATGAGAAATCCTCACTTTTAAGATTCTTCATTTATTTTTTTTTAGCGTTTACAATTTACATAATGTCAAAATTACAAACGTAACCTAGTTTAATTTGAACTTTAACGTACAGAAAATTTATATAAGCTAAAATTTTGAAGATTGATATAATTTCAAATAAGAAGTGACCTTTTATGACTTTTTTATTTTATTTTATATAAATAAAATTAATTTTAACCAACTTTAAACCAAATGAATGTGCATTTGTTTATAAATAGTGGGAGTAATCGGGAGGAAATTTTCCTCGCTATATCGAGAGACAGCTCTCGTTATAAAGAGCGCTCGTTATAGAGAAGGTCGTTATAGCGAGATTTGAGTGTATAGATAGCATATGTCTTCAAAAAAAAGTTATTACCGAATTTCAAAAATGTCCCGCGACTACCGACATTTAAAAACGTCGGTAGTGGCGAGACATTATCTTTAATTGCTTATTTTAATATGTAAACGATTCAAAATCAAAGGAATTAAACAGAAAAAAGATAAATTTTGCCTTTAATTCTTACATTGTTTTATTTAATGTTAAACATACAGGAAAACTCTCATCTAAGTTATCAATCTGAGTCACAATTACTGCAAACAAAGAAGCTGTTCGTCATGTCAGCACATTTCAAGTGCACTTCGCGTTTACATTCAATACACTCGACTGAATTATTCGCCGTCAATTTTTTTGGCTTTTCCCCCAAACATATAATGCAGAAATCTTCTTCAGATGAAGAAGCTTTATTGGCTGCAAATGACTTTGTTGTATTTGCTCGCTTGGCTGGAGGTGCTTTATATTTCCCAACTCGTTTGACTGTAGATGAGTTTGCTTTTTTGTCTTTTTCTTTTTCTTTTAAAGGGGATTTCGTGGCGCTGTTTAAAGGTGATTTTGACTTCATGACTCGCTTGGCTCGAAGTACTTCTGCTATTTTGTCTTTTTCTATTTTCTTTTTTTCTTTATCCTTGCGTTTGTTTTTTAGAAGAGTAATATTGTCTGATAATGTCATAATCGTGCTTTTTATTGCTTTACGACCTCGGTTTGACTTCTTTTTCGGAGTTCCTCTCTGAACAGGACCAATATCTGATAAAATCGATGAGAGTAATGATTCTTTCAAATGTGACCGTCCTCTCAAGCACGATGTTTCTTCGGAATGCGTTAATTTCTCTGACGTTGTGGCTTCACCGCAGTGATTTGACGGTTTAGTTAGTAGTGTATGAAGTTGATTGTTTTCATCAAGCGATTGAGATTCGTCGAGAGGTTGAGTGGAGGAATTTTCAGCCGTGAACTCCGCTGCCAGAAAGTCTGCGTCAGAAAAAACATTAGGGTTGTATGGGCAAATCCCAGTGGCGCTAAAACCGGCCATGATGTTTCTTGGCGTGAGTGACAACTCTAACGCTGATTTCACAATTGATGGTATATGACGAATTCATAAACATCTTCCAGAATTATTTTCCATCTAAGAATTATGCTGTGAGGCGAAAAATTTTTTAGTAGGACCATACACTGACACGTCCAGTGGTTGTAGGCAATGACTGCAGTGATGTGGAAATGACAGCATCGTTACTCCATTTTCTATAGCCATATCGAGAATTTCAATCGACAAATGAAAGGCGTGATTGTCAAGGAGAAGCAACACCGGATTTTCTTTCGACGCGTGAGAAAAATCAATAAAATGTTTCATGAATTTTAAAAACTCAAACCGCTGCATCCAACCTGATCCGTTGGCTACTGCAAATGCTCCAATTGTTGCTTGCTCAAGAAAAACTGATTGCATCTTCTTAGTTGGAAACACATAGAATGGTGAAATGGAGCCTCTAGCAGCGTTAACCGCCAAAGCCATCGTCACAAGTGCTCCTCTCTCTTGAGATGTCATGTTGCCAACTCTTTTACTCCCTTTCAGACTCAAAACTCTGACAGCTTTTGTCGGTACTGTAGAGAACCCAGTCTCGTCCATATTCCAAATAGAGCATGGTTCATGAAGGAATAGTACTAGTCTTTTCCTGACATTTTCTTCTCATTACACGAATCGGGATATTTGATGTCCATCTTTTTGGCGAATTGAGAAGCTAACTCTTTCAGTTCGGTGATACTTAGGCCGTAATAAAATTGACTGCACTTTACAATGTATTCTTTTAGCGCATCTTCTTCTTCCTGTGTAAAAATTGCTGCCGGGCCGAAAGAACTTAATTCTGAAAGCTTTTCTATTAAAATAGCGTCATCAGTTTCAGAAACATTTAAATACGTCTTTTGTAATCCTTGAGTATATCGCCAAAGACTCGATTTGTTAATTCCGTAGAACTTCGAGATGGATCAGAGAGATTTTTTTTTAATTATAATGTCTTTTACGGCTTTCAATATCGATTTGACACACTTGGCTTGTTTTGTGTTCCTGTTTATTTGTTTACGATTTTTTGCCATCTAAAATATAAGTTAAAATTATTATTTACATAATTACAGATTACATAAAAATACATGCGCAAATTTTAGGTTAGGTTATTGTTATGAAAAATATTGCCGACAAAACGTAAAAAAATTATTTCGAAGTTATTATGAAATGTATTATATTTTTAGATGTAAAAAAAACAGTGTCTCGCCACTGCCGATAACGAGTGTCCCGCCATTGCCGAAATAGTACTTTACGGGAAAAAATGATGAACAATTGTATAACCGCACTAACATGTACAGTATTCTAAGAATTTCAAAGGAATCTTACATACCAATAATTTAAGACACTTACCGTTCACAAAATTCTAAATATTTTGATTTTTTTAAACACTTTTTGTTTGGCAGAACAAAACTTTAAAACTTAAAGACTACTTTTAAGACTATCGTCAGCTCTACAGTGGCAGATTTTACATCCATAAAGTGGATATCATATAGAAAACCTTCAACACAATAAAACTTCACTTTTTCGCCAAAAGAGGCAGCACTGTCAACTCAACTGTTTGAAATATCGCAGTGTCTCACTATACCCGCTGTCCCGCCACTGCCGACAACGCTCTAGTAAATTATTCTAAATTATAAAATTAATTTTCGGTCTCAAAAATAAAAATTAATTACACGAATGCACATCTTCGAAGGAATTACACTTTACATGTAAAAATAATGTAACATTAACAAATAAGCAAAAAAATCATTAAATAATTTATTTTAATTATATTTATAATATAATTTTGTCATTAACCAACAGTGGAACAAAAAATGTTTTGAAAACCTGATTTTTTATTTAAAATAACCTCACTTTTTCGAGTTTTTTCTGGCTTTAAAGCTTCATAATTAAATATTAATTATGTTTAAACTAAATGTTTTTTTAGAAATGTGTTGAGGAGTAAATTTTTGAAAGGTATAAAAAATGATTTTATTTTGCAATGAGGAAAACAAAAGTTATTTAAAAATTCCGAAACCGTAAAGGGAATCCCTCCTAGGTGTGTGACGGAGGGTTAAAAGCAAGTCACATCCTAGATTCAACGGAAATACCTTTCCGTTAGATCTGCGTAGTTTCACAAATGGAATGAGTTCTTGAAACACTAGGTCCACTTAAGAGCGGAATACCTACCCAGTGGGCACACTTGTTCAAAAGACGTCCTAAGGATGTCTTTTTGCGGACGTCTTTTGGACTTGTACAAAAAGACGACTTTAAGACGTCTTAAAGACGTCCTATAAATGTTCTATGTCTTGGCCATTAGATGTCTTTAAGATGTCTAAAAGACGTCTTTTTCATTCAACATTTGAAAATAGAAAAATTTTCATAAATAGAAAATATTATTTTCTAAGTTCAACTTGGACTTAGAAATTCATGAATGTAAAATTCATTGGAATTTTTCTAAGTTAAATTCCTTTCATTGGCAAGTGAGATCGTTATCTTTGTAGAGGTTCATATCTGTCTTGAACGGCTGAGGTGCTTAAGGCGCAGTGCTTCAAGCCCAAGGTATCAGAGTTCGATTCCAGCTTCGTAGGAATTTTCTCATTATTTCTCTACATTTTAGAAAAAATAAAATTAAACTTAAAATAAATTTAATACAAAATATTACTGAGTTTCAACTTAGAAAATGTTATAAAAGAAATGTTTATTTAAGATCTGAAGGAAAAAGATCTGTAAAAAGGACGTCCAAAAGACGTCTTAAACATGTCCCTTTTATGTCTTTTAGACGTCCAAAAGATGTCTTTAAGACGTACTTTAGACGTCCTTTCTTATTATGTCTTTAAGATGTCTTTTGGACCAGACATAGAACGTCTTTTAGTTGTCTTTTTGAAGACTCAGAGACATTACCATCATTGTCCCCGAATCGTCCGCGGACAAAAAGGGACGTCTTTAAGACGTCTTTTAGACGTCCTTGTGCCCACTGGGTAAATGTTTATATCGGCGTTGAATTTCAAATAATTATTTATTTAATTATAATAAATAATTTTTGGTTATAGGATTATTAATAAAATACAATTGTTGATTGGAAAAACTCTTTCGAGAAAAAAACCAATTTTATTTAAATTCAAATATATCAGATATTTAATGTTTTCTAAATTAAATATTTGAATTACTTCAACAATTAGGATTAAAAGTCTAATTGTTTATATTCACTTCTTTTTAAAAGGAACTTCACTTATTCAGTTTTAAAGTTATAGGATAATTAACAATTTAAAAATGTTTCTAAGGTTTTAATAATATCACTCAATTCACTATTAAGTTAATTTACAATAAACACTGATTGTTTTATCCGAAGTCAAGAAATATGTGAGCATGAATAATTTTTATAATCAAAGTTAAGAGAGAGTTTCTTTTCCTGAAAGCCGTCCTTATATACCTTGTAAAAAGTGGGAGAGGTAACCCCTTCCCGTTTGAGCAACTAATCAGATTGCTGCTGTCGTCACCCCTAACCAATAAACGTCGTTGGTTCAAGGTCACACTGCTACATTTCTACTGCGTAGTTGCTAACTGCGCAATAAGATCGACGCCTAATTGGATTATTATTACTATTATTATCATAAATAAACTCGTAATTATTATATAAAATAATACTATCAAAAATAGGAATTATTAAATCGTTATTTACATTAAAACAGATTACAATAACAATTACAATCTATAATAATTATAAAACAATAACAATATTCCTGTATTTATTTAATTAAACCTAATATTTGTTTATATAATCAAAACTATAATAATAATCAATTTGATTTAGCATTTATCCCAATATTTACTAGTCACAGACGAATACGTTACAGCAAGTAACACAATTTATCGACAAACGGCGCCGATAGCATCAACTCCACCCGAAAACAGAATTTTGTTCCTAATAGCCCCAGTTTACGGTAGTCTTTTCGCACCGGATAGTAGAACGAAACCTGAAGAAATTACAATGGATAAACTATTGCTCATATTATTTGGCGTACTAGTCTATTATTGCTTTCTGTCTTGAAGTTACAGCTAGACTTTAAAAGAAAAATTTAATAAACAAGCGTAAATTTCGATTTGTAAATTAAGAAAGTTTACAAGCTTCTGATGCAAGAAGATTTTTTATAGGATAAGTAATCTTGTGGTAAAGTTGAACTTACTAAAACTTGCCTCATTTTATTAAGATGCCGTTTTAGATAATGTTAATTATTGCTTTTCGATAGATTTTTTTCAACACTTGCGAGAAAAAGGGCCGCAGCTATAAAAAGAGAATCGAATGCCTAAAACAAATTGTTTGTCATCATCACTTGAGTCATAAGTGAAATCTTTTATAGAAAACTGATTCTATAATATTGCAGATGATTGTAGACTATTGGGGCTCATATAAATATGGGTATAATTTATTTAAATATAAATAATTTTGTGTCAAAACTTTGTGTGAATTTAAAATAAAGACTAAACATATTATTATATGCAAAATAATTACTATTGTAAGACTTCAAGAATTTTTATTAGAATTCAAAAATAGGACATTGCAAACTTTGAATATCTCAGTCAAATTATTATAATTAAACAAGAATATTTAACTAACAAAGATATTAAAGACCAATTATATGTTTCTGATGTTAACAGACCAGGGTACTTCTTCTTCTCATATATTATTATTGAGATGTAAATGGCGATAATTAAGTAAATTTGACTCTACCCAGATAACAATTTGAGATTGATATGCGTCTCATATCGCTCGCATGTAAGAGGTTTCTTTTCGCACTCGTGCCTTCACTGATGCAGACAGATGCGTCCTCATATGAGACGCATTACGCTCGAATGTTATAAATGTGCATGATGCATGAGAGTGAAATGCGAGTCTCGTGCCTTTTTAAGGATTATTTGTCATAAATATATTGTACAAAATTTAATACAAAAAACTAAGGTCCTACAAAGCACAGTATTTTTCTGCAAGTTTTCCATGCAAAGTTCGCAAGTTTGCATCCAAGTTTGCAACAAACTTGCATACAAATAAAAATGTCACCCTATTGGCAAGTTTGTAATGAAAACTTATGGAAAATTTGCAGCAAACTTTCTAAAATACCTAAAAAATTTTTTTAAAAATTTTTTTTCAAATTGCATATAATTTGATGAACGATGCCTTCCCTATAGGGAAGGTGACTAAAATATAGTGCGCAGCTCTAGATGTCATAGTAAACTACTGCGCATACATTTAAGTTTTTGCTATTTGGCGCAAGTTTGCTGCAAACTTGCAGTGCAAACTTTCCAAGTGGGTGACATTTTTATATTTATGCAAATTTACTGCAAACTTGCAATGCAAACTTGCGAAATTTGCATGGAAAACTTGCAGCAAACTTGCAGAAAATATCTGTGCTTTGTGGGGTTAAATTTAAAAATGTTTCATTAAAATTGTTTATTTCAATAATATAAACATGGCATTAATGATAATGAACATTTTTCTCTTTAGTCTTGAACATACATAATCTCCTAAATAACCTATAATAAACATTAGCTGAGATCATAATTCGTAATAAATGTAAACTTTTTAACAC